AGAGAGAGAGAGAGAGAGAGAGAGAGAGAGAGAGAGAGAGAGAGAGAGAAAGAGAGAAAGAGAGACATGAAAGAAAAATGAGACGCCATCAGCGAGGGTTGCTGTTCGCCACGGCGTAGCCGTGGCGGGGTCCACTTGTTATAGTAATCCTTCGACAAGCTTATCATTTCAAAGTGAATTCGACGACGGGAAGAAGATTATCATTTCAAACCCGGCTGGAGCACTTGCCTGTCATACCCCCTTCTAATGTCTTGTACACAATTTCTGAAGGGGAAAAGTCAAGGGTTTTGATGACCCGAGGCGACGAGGGTTAAATATGGTGGGAAAACAATATATCAAGTAATCAACCGAGTTGTTGAGTTCACAATGATGGTTAGTGGACTGCAAAGTGGTCGCGTTTGACATTGCAAAAGTCATCCAAATGGATAATCAAAATTGTAAACAATATGAAAGACGTAGTCCATACTAGTACTCTTTTAGGGGACTTGGACCAGTTTTATGGAGTGCACTTCTCACTTGCGGGCAGAAAAAAGGATCTGACACGCTCTTGTACGACTTTCCTATGTGGAGATTGGAAAGGTGATGAGCTGATGACATCCACTTCTGGGTGTTGTCGAAGGCTGTGTATTTCGGTTTCAATGAGTAGACGCCAAAATGTGACAAACCCATAAACAACGGGTCAACTTGTGAGTACTTACACTTGCAGGTTGACGCTGCCATCAGTTCGTACATAATGTTTCCCCCTCCCCTAGACTGGGATACCAATTACCACATCCATACTCGAACATGTGAAGTATTTCGAGGTCCTCTAAACTCCATAAATTGCGACCAATTCCTAGCTGCATCTATTTCTCACATAGACATGTTCTTGATGTGCAAATTATTTTCCTTTTATATTTTCCGCACAATGTCTTTGCTTCAAATGCATATTTGTTTGTTTGATCTCAGATAGCAGCCTAGTCTATTGCTGATATGCACTAACAATACTTCGTTGCTCTTTTCATCGCAGACATCATGGCTTGTGGTAATTTTACTTCGGATTGAGAGTTCCAATATACACGCCCGACCACTACAAACTGTGTTGCATCTAACACGTCGAGCCTCTTGGATGGGGGGTGTTCTCCACATACTCCCCCCTGCTGCCAACTTGAAACATGTTTTCACAACACTCAAGGCAAATGCAACAGCGGTGATAGAAGGGTCACGCCCGACTCACCTGCCCATAAAAGATTGAGAGGTTTTGATGTCGATGTTGTCACATGTGAGAGCATTTCTCCAGCCGTTTGTCATGCACGATTAACAAGGTCGTCGTCATGCAGCAAGAACACTCAGAGCAAGGACAACCACATATTTGACAGTGTTGCATCTGATGTAAAGTGTGTAGTTTGGGTGCCCAAAAGTTCACTCCGGGTTCACGAACATGTTACACTTTACAATTCTGATGGTTTTTGGGTTGTGAATGATGATGGGTGGTCCTCAAGTACTTCAGTTGGTTCGAGTGATGCCAGTTCACCCTGTAAAGATTCTCGTCCCCGTCATGACAAGGAGGTCAATCTCGGGCATCCTCCTCATGACAATGATGATGAGAATTCAGACCATATGATTATATAACTGATTTTGATGATATAGTTGTAAAAAGGTTGTCTTTGGAGAAGCGTTCTTACACTTTTCAGAAAAAAAAGAAATAGAAAAGCATCCTCGATTCTGTGCATAAGAAATTGACCAGAAAGGCACTGGCTAGCGTCCGTGAGTGGATTGCTGTAAACGAGAGTGTTGTGCACACATGACCTTAGAAGACGTGAAGGTTGTTAGAACTTAGAAGTGCATATTACTCCTAGGATCAGCAGAGTCGAGACGCATGGTGGGTTGAGACTTTGAAAAGGTTGACATTTGTCGAAAATGACAAAGAGATTGTGCAACCTATTGTATGAAAAAATAAGGTTTGCATTTGGCGAGCTTGTCGAAAGGTCATGTCATGCCCGAGCACGGTAGTACAGGGTCGAGGTGTACATTGGAGAGAGACGTTGTGGTACACGGTAGGCTAGATTCTTTCATGCGTCGAGAGAATGGTGATCCGATGCCTAATGAAATGCAAACTAAGAATTGAAAGTCGATGGTAGTTTCAACGAGAATACTTTCTACCTGTCTCACCATCCGCCCATAGGCCAAGTTGCGGCCTTGACACAGTTTGGTAGGTCAAGGTGCAACCTTGGGGAATTTTGGCAGGTCTAGACCCAGGGCAGATCATCTTTTCAATCAAATTTGTGCCTGCCATGGTCAGACTTGGGCCTAGCCCTATAGGTTATGACATTGGATTTTCAACCACCAGGTAGGAGATCAAGGTCCAGTAGGTGAGAGGGGAGTGATGAAGCTTGATGAAGGAAATTGAGGGGTTGAGGGTCCAGAAGGACTACTTTGCCGAACGGTCCCAAGCACAGGCCCGCTCGGTGGGACGAAGGGGGTGCCAGTGGTCTCCCTATCTCCTCCTCCCACTTAGCCTTTCTCTTTTATCTATTATTTTGTTATTTAGTTTAGTCCCGCTTTTGGCCGCACCTGGTACTGTTTCCGAGAGCGGCAGTACGACCAACGGACCTAGCTCAGTTAGTATAATCTGAACTGTTGAAATGCAGACCCAAGTTTCAACTCAGATATGGTCAGGTGACCAGAATAAACTCACTCTCAATTATCAAGGCTTGGTTAGAATTGGAAAGGTGCAGAGAGGATTAGTACGGCCTCAAGCCTATAAGAGATACGTGGCTCGGCAGGGAAAGGGTTGGCAGTTCCATTAGAGAGGGATATCCAACTAAGTAGTGAGGCGTCGAGTGAAATCTCATTGCTGCTGAATTGTCATCGATAGAGAAGGAAAGGAGCGGGTTTACCTGTTGGCTGCAGCGGAGCTCGCCTTCATACTGGCCACCGTGGGCGCCATCTTCGGGATAGGGCAGTTCGCTGTGCTCGTCATTTTCGAGATCGCCGCACTGTGGTTGTCGGTATCCCTCTCCTGCTCGTCCTCGGAATCTGATTCGTTATAAGTGATGCGCTTCATGGTGCATGACTTCTGCATCTAAGTGCCTGTCTTGGTCGTCCGTGATCGTCCTCGTTGTTCGTAATGGAGAAGCATGCTCGTCCGCTACGATTGTGCTTAGCATGCTCGGGGTCTTCACTGATTGACTGAACCTGGCCGTTATTGTGGCCAGGTGCTCATTCGCTGAGAACCGCAAGTGTGAAGTGCGTGTGCTCATGTGCGGGCGCAAAAGAGTGAAAAGAGGATACAATGTATGATTCACAGTGACTGGTTGAGATCGGGGCGTTTTAAGCCTCCCACCCAGGCTGACGGGGGAGAGGACAGTAATGTCTAATGGACTCGAGCCTGTGTTTTCTTGAGAGTAGGTTGCTTCTGGGGGAATTGTCCCAGTTCGATGAATTTCTCTTTTGTGACACCGGATCCGGTTTCAAGGAGCCTAAGCTGGGTTTGGCCCCAGGACATTCACCAGGTTGTTTGTGAGGGATTCCAGACCCTGTCATCTTTTCCCATGAGTAATATTTTCAAAATTCTAAATTTCCGAAAAAAAAAAGAAAGAAGGAAAAAAAGTAAATGAAGAGTTACTTGGAAGGACTTGGTATCCATCTGTGTCATGCAAGCTTGACTGCGTTGTCGAAGTTGTCGCTAGAAACTTTCAAAAAGTCATAATTTGCCATTTGAGAATTCATTGCCATCTGTTGCTGCTGCTGTACGAGATTCACATTAGTTATCTGTAGTGCGTCCGCCAGGCTACAGTCTTCCCCCAAACAGAACACACTGGCCCACCGGGTCCCTCGTAATGCATGTTGACAAGCGATCTTTCCACGAGAGTCATTATGAGAGTGAGGGCCGGTTATGTTTGGAGCCTTTGGAGGAAGACTGTAATCCAACTATATAAGTACAAAATGTGCTGATGATGCCACATCTTCAGAGTTCAGTCCAGTGAGTAAAATATGATTAGTATATGCCAAGCAGCCTACGCCTATAATTCATGCTATTTCCTTTGGTTGTGAATGAATTGCATCTCATTCAACCCAAATTGTTGAGGAAGAGCATAAGGGTACTACTGGGACAAGAGGAACCATTCGATCACCATGCAGTGTGTGTGTGTGTGTGCTGTCTCTTATACACATCTAGATGTGTATAAGAGACAGCTGCATGTTAGAGATGGAATGAAAGTATGGATGAGTTCATGA